GGGATAACCTTGGGGATGGTGGCACGGTGACCTGAAAGGAGCCAGGATCCCCAGAGATTTTGTAGACGAGAGCTTTCACACCAGCACTGGCTTAGAAATCCTGGGTATTTAAAGGAATAAAATCCACACTTTGATCTTGACTTTCAAACCATTCCTGAGATCTAAGACTCCTAATTTAAAAATTATCTAACATTATGCATATGAGCCAATGTCAAGGTTACATTGAAGGAAAGGGTAGCCTGGGATGCCAAGAGCAGGTACAGAATGAGCCAGAAACAGTTCCTTGTGTTGGTTCTATGTAGTTTTGAACATTAAAAAGCAATGCTAGTAATACACATGAAGTTCAGGAAATGTGTTGTTTAAAGACAGGACTGAAAGAGTAACATTTCTAAAGGTTTTGCAAAAATAGCAATAACATTACACCTTGCATTACTATGGCCTAAGACAACCTTGATTGACCCTAATCAATAAGACTAATGAATGTGTGTGTGTATTTAAATTAAAAAAAATTAAAGAGTAGCCATATAATGAAAAGTAGAATCTTTATTTTTTACTTGTTTTTAGAGAGGCATATAGCAATAAATGTTATATGTATAACAAGGATTGTGCATTTAGAAGACATGAATAGCTTTACTCAAAATACACGAGAAATGAATGTTAATTTTGCTTGGATATTTTTGATATTATTCTAAAACCTTTATAAAAGAGTCAGTGTAGAAATGAATGCTGACTGAAGGTCAGTGTGTTTTATTAAAATTAAATCCCCGTAAGAATCTAGGATGACGTTTTGCTACTTTGAATTTCAGAGAAAGCATTTCAGGTTTTGGAAATAGATTCTGGCAGTTTATTCCAGTAGCTTAGAATTTAGTTTTCTTTAATCAGCTCGTGTTGGCAATCTGGATAATATTGCTTATCTTTAGTAGTGTTTTTGGTGCATTGACAGTTTCTCATGGGCACATTTTTAGAATTAAGGAAAAGACCTTTTCTTTTCACAATACATGTTCATTTTAACAAAAAAATGCAGAGGATCACATAGAAGAACATGAAATATACCATAACATATTTTCCTGAGACACCCTCTTTAAAAATCACTCTCTATTATTTGTTTAACTTCCGTCTATTTTGTTGCTTTTGTTTTTTAAATGCCTATGTTAAATTGCAGGACTGATAAGCCTCATTATAAAAAGGTCAAAATATTATTAAATTTTATGTTGTAAAATATGAGATTTTTCTCTATGCCCCACCTCTAATAATACTTCTTTCTCTTCAGGTAAATAGAGTTCACAATGTAGAGTGCATTTTGGCACACTCAGCTAGACAGAGCTTGAGCACACACAGGCCCACAGTGATACTTGCATAACATGCTCAGACATGTTTTTTAAAACATAGAGATAAGTTTCTCTCTGTACATACATGCACACACACAAATAAGTATTTCTGTGGTACAATGTTTTTCACTTAATAACATACAAAATTTCAAATAAGCTACACCCAGGTAAAATTAGTTTGATTAATTAATTCCCAATTAATACTGGTCAGTTTCAGCAACAGAAATCTTCTGAATTCTAAGTGTAGGGTTCTTTTGGAGAATGTGTATATCTTTGAAGTGCAAATGTAAGAGAGATACAGAAAATCTAATGCTGTACTGGAAGGTCCTAAACAGTGTGTAGGGTAAGAAAAAGATATTACAAGGATCCTGATTGTAAAATAAGAGCTAAAATAATCTATTCATAGGTGATATCATCATCTATGTAGAAAATTCTGTGAAATGTATAAACATGCTACTAGAACTAAAAAGCAAGTTTAGCAAGATCATAGAACACAAGATTGACATATAAAAAATCTATATAATAGCAACAAATAATCAGAAATTGAAAATTAAAATACCATTTATAATAGCATCAATAATATTATATACATAGTGGCACATCTAACAAAAGATGTGTCAGACCTGTATACTCAAAACCATAAAACACTACCTACAGAAATAAAAGAAAATGCAAATAAATTGTTAGCTATATCATGTTCCTGGATCAAAAAACTCAATACTGTTAAGATAACAGTTCTCCCCAAAATAATCTATAAATTCAACACAATTCCAATCAAAATTCTCAATTTTTTGGTAGGAATTGATGAACTGATCTTAAAATTTATATGACAATGAGTAAATACTATTGGAAAAGAGGAGCAAATTTGGAAGGCTTTTACACGATCTAATTTTAAGATTTTAAAAAAATCTATGGTAATCAGCAGTGTAATATTAAAAGGCTAATCAATGTACAAGAATGGAGGATCCAGAAGTGACTTATACACATATGATCAATGAATTTTTGGCAAAGACAGAAGCAATTAAGTGGAGAAAGAATGGTCTTTTCAACAAATGGTGCTGGATCATACCCATACCTTGTCTTTTATGCCAAAATTAACTCAAAATGGATCAAAGACTTTAATGTAAATCTTCACACTACAAAAGTTACAGAAGAAAACATGGGAGCATATCCTAATGGCCTAGTTTTGTGAATAAAGATGTACTGGAAAACAGTTGTGACTCTGTTTACGTATTGCCTTTTGCAATGAAATGGTAGAGCTCAATAACAGAGATTGTGTGATCCTCAGAGCCTTTAGTTTTACTAAAAACTAAAATATTTACTAACAGGACCTTTTGTGAAGTTTGCAGACCCCCGCTTAGATTATAAGGAATAGAAAACCCAATGAAAGCTGGCTTCTTCTCTCATATAAATAGACATCCAAGAGGAAAATGGCTTTGGGATTGTCTTAATGCTGCAATGCTGAGTTCTGTGGGCCAACTTTATCTTCAGACAAATAAGATGGCTTCAAGATTTCAAGGCTTCACAGCGCAGATGGTAATATCCAGAGGGAGGATAAAGAAGCTGTTCCTTCCTGTGGTTTTGTCTTTGGTTTGTGGAACCCTTCCTCAGCTAACCTCATGCTCCCTGATCCAGTGACAGTCTTCTTCCCGAATTACTCTCCTTTTAATGAACTCTTTGGCATAAGGCTTACACCTGTGTTCCTGAATCAGCCACAAACAGGGAATGGAATTAACCCTCGGATTACTCAGGGCCATCTTGTGGGTGGGGATTGTTAGGAAGCAAGATGAAGTGATTTACTGATACCCTATGTGTTTTCTCCTGTGAGCCCAGACAGCACTGTTTGTTTAGGATTTACATAATTAAATTTCTTGATCTTTTCCCTTCTCTTTTCTCTCCCCTCCCATCCTCTCCTTTTCCATTGTCTTTTCATTTTTCTGAGATTCCATCGCTAAAAATGCTTGTAATGTTTCATCTTTATAAATATTCTTAGCTATTAATTGGAGATAAACACCTTCATAATAAAAATAAAACATATTTCTACCTAGAGTATTACAAAAATCGTTATTAGAATGTACTTTCAAATTTCAAATGCCTTTTATTATATATTTAAATACTATTTAAAATTTTTAAATCTAGAGGTGTAATGAGTTATATAGATAGATGTTCTAATATCACTCATTTTTTTCATTTCTGGAATATGCCCTTTGTGATTTTGGACTATATCTTTCAACATATTCAGGTTATATTTTATCTAGCAGTTTTTCATCTCTATTTTTAAGGTTTAAATCTATATTTGGGAGTTTCATTGGGTTTTGACATTCATCATATAAACTCTGATATCAAAGCTTCATAAAATGGTTTTGAAACATTTTTTTTCTTATTCTATATTGAAATGCTATCAACAGAAGTGGAATATTCTGTTCCAAAATGGTTTGATATGACTGACTCTTAAAACCATCACTCCAGGAACATTTTAAAATTACCTTGATTTATTGGCAAGATAACATTTGTTTTTCTGCTCAATCAACTTTTTGTAATTTTTCTAGTAGAATATTCTAAAATTCTTATTTTGTAGAGCTTGATTTTTCTCATGTTAAGTATATGTTAGTATATGAACTCGATAACACATATGTAAATTATTGTATAAAAACTGTAAAACAACATAAAATAGTTTTTTTTCTTTTAGAGACTAGACAAATTACATACATTTTACAAATACCCAACCCAAAACTGTACACATGCACGCAATGAGCAAAATTAAAATTAGGTCTTAAAAGTTTCATAGTCAACATGAGAACCAAATGTTTTCTTCTGATAAAGGAAAATCATACCAATGTCAATTGCACAATAGAGGGACTAGTATGGAGATCAGATTTCATCTCTATATGCCGTTTTATAAATACCTGTTTTGGCTTGTATGATATTGTAGTCATATGAAGCTTCCTCCTCATTTTAGTCACCTTGATATAGAAATATATATAAACATTTAAATATCAAATCACCTCTTAGGCATGCGTGATCACATTCTAATACTATAGATAAGACCCACTGGCCATTGCTTTGCTTCCTAAAGAATTTTCTAGACTGGTAATTAGCTGCCTAATAGATGATTCCAGGAAAGAACAAAGCCAGTCTAATTATTCAGGAAGTTACTTTTGTACCAGAACTGTTGTAGGTGGACTGTAACTTTTTGTAGAAAGTTTAGGACTTCACTACCAGACATTCCTATTCAAAGATATTTGAAATCAGTTTTTCCCTAAATATCTTTTGATTGCAAAGCTATTTACTATTTAGAATCCTGAAATGTTGATATTTAAAATAAAAAGATAATTTAAATTTAGCAATACCTTCAAGAATAACATACGACCACATTGATTTTTTCTTGCAGACAAGCAGGTGCATTTTGTTAGTTCTTAAAATTAAGATTGCAGAGTTTTTCCCTGGAAACCAATATCTCTGCTATAAATGTGTATGACAATATTATAGTCATAAAATATAATTAAAATTGTGAAGTTTTTCTGGAATGGTGGCTTTTCCTCTGGATATTTAGTATTACTTGAAATAGCATAATCCCCTTTTAAACCATTAAAGTTTAGTTTAAACTCATTTAGCTGAATGAGATATTAGACTATTAAGTATCATTAAGAAAATAAATTAACACTAGCCAGAGACAAATGTTTATAGTTTCTGAGTAATACATAACTTTTAGTAAAAGTGAAAAAATTAATTTTCAAAGCACAGTAGACTTCCAAAATTACAGTGACCATTTCAAAATTCAGTGTTATGGATAAGAACACTTGCTTTATGTTGGCCCAGGCAGTTCAGAGTCTCACCTTCCTATGTCTTTAATGCCTGAAGTTCCTTCGTACTTATTGTATAATGCTTATATTTATTTAACTATTTATTTTCTTAGTTAATTATTTTTTCCTGTCTTGGGGAAAACTTGGGAGTGACATATTGTGTTCATTTATGATTGCTTTCAAGTATGTGGCTTCAAAAATCTCTGTCCTCCTTTCCAAAAAGAAATGTATTTCACAGAATTCCTGGGAGTCTTCTCTTATCAAAATCAATGGTCAGATTTCAATATTTCAGCTAAATTGTAGGCAGGTACTTGTTCATTTGATTGGCTTCAAATGAAGTAATTATTGGATCTCATTATGGCCAATTACTTTTGTCCTTGGAGAGGTTTTAAAGGGGTCACAATTGAAGCAGACTCCAAGCTGCAGGTAAAGTCCTTCTTGTCTAGCCATACCATGCATATATCAAAAAGTAGTGGCTCTAGATATGCTTGGGCATATCACATACATGAGCACACACACAAGTAATTTCACTGCCTAAATCTCCTGTGGTGCTACTTGAACACTGTTCAGTGGATCTTTATATAAGCAATCATTAACTAGTAAAGTGATACTTTGGTTTTTAAACATGTTCTTATCCTGTAATGTCTGCCTCATTTCTTATGGCAATAAAGTCATGACTGGCTAGGAAAATGAAATAATTTCTGATTTAGACAATTATGCACAGTTGACCTTTGAACAATGTGAGGGTTGGGGTTGCTGACTCCCTGCACAGTTGAACATTTATAACTTTTGACTCCTTAAAAACTTAACTGCTAATATCCTATTGTTGACTGTAAGCCTTATTGGTAACATCAATAGTTGATTAACACATATTTTGTATGTTATATTATTATATGCTATATTCATATAATAAATATGCTAGAGAAAAGAAACTGTGATTAAGAGAAACATAAGGAAAAGAGAATATATTTACTACTTATTAAGTGGAAGTAGATCATCATAAAGGTCTTCCTCCTGGTTGTCTTCACACTGAGTAGGCTGAGGAGGAAGAGGAAGAGGATGTGTTGATTTTACTGTCTCAGTAGTGACAGAGATGGGAGAAAATCTGCATATAAGCGGAACCCTGCAGTTCAAACCCATGTTGTTCAGTAGTCAACAGTATATGTTCTTCATATATGGTTGTGCAGGTTGTTCACTGCATAAGTGCACTAGGGCAAGGTGGCCAGTGGGAGCTGAAATGAATCCTGGACTCTGCTCTTCAAGCCGTTTGACCTTATTAAAGCTATGTCCTCCGCAGGCAGGGCCACTTTTTTTCTAATTGCCCAGAGGTACAATTGGTTTACTGTAGCAATTGGGTTTGTGAAATTCATATAGTCACAGAAAAATGTGATACTAAAATGTCCTGAGGCTATGTCACTACCATATGTTAAAAATATGCTGAGATTTACCCCTGAAGAACAACCTTAAATTTTTACAATCATACATGTATTACTCTGTTTTTCATCTACACATGTTTTAAAATTTTAAGTAAAATATTCCATCTCTGTGCTTTAAGCTCCATTGCTTAGTTTGATTTCCATAAAAATGTCATAAGTATAAATATTAATAACTAATTGTAAATCAAATAAATGAAAATGATGAACAGTGTGAAATACCCATGAGCCACTCATAAGAAATTATTAGGTTGTAAAATGAAACTGCCATCTTTGTAGTTCATAGTAGTCAAATATTATTGATTTCTTATGGTTCAATCTAATAAATGCTTTGTTAATGAAGCTCTTCCCTCAACATAGTTCCCTGATCTGGCATCCCATCCTACATCTCATGTTCCGTATTCAATTAAAGGTGTAGTTCTAAACACACTTACTTTAAGGACCCCTTATCGGTTGGTATATTACTCTGTTTTTCTGTTTTTCATTTATTACTGCATTTATTTTTCCCTTATTCAATATTTGTTTGTTGAATACCTGCTCTTTAGCAGTCAAACACATACAAATGGTTTATAGGTTCATTGTTCTTAAGAAATGTTGGGGTTTCTTTTCTTAGAATGTCATCGTTGGCCCTAACACTTCTGTTCTAGCCTATGGAATTTTGAATGTAGGGGCTTGGTGCATGTGTGGAAAATACTTAGTTTGGAATATTAAAGTGAAGAGCTGTAAGAAAGAGGAGGTGTCTTAGGGCTGATATAACAAAGTACCCTAGACCGAGTGGCTTCAGTAACACATCAAAATCAAGTGGGGAGGCTTAAAATTAAATCTTCAAACATCTGACTTTTCTGGCTTTAGGCTCTAGCACTGGTATTTTTTATAAAGCTCCCAGGTTGTGCTAATGTACAGTGCAGGTGTACACAAGCTTCTTTGGAGCAAAGTCAACATAGGCTGGAGATCATCAGCTTTCACTCAGTAAAGATGGTAAATATTGAGGTCAGCTAGGAGGGCTTCCTTTTATCAGATGAAAATGGTTGATGAGACTCTGTTGTTGAAACAGTGGTAAAGGTTACTGTGCTGTGATTGGAACAAGGTTATTATGAAGAAAACCTGAGAAAGGTCCAAACATAAGAGAAGGCATATAGCAAAAGGTAAAATCAAATAAATTTAAACAATTATGGATATGCATCCTTAGAGGGATAGAAAGGAATCTGTTTGACTATCACTTATTTTTAATTTGAAAATTTATTTATAAGTTTTAAGAATAGTTATGTTTTTATGGAGCAAGTGATTTAATTATTAGTTTAGTGATTTAATACTTAGCCTGTTATCAGGATTTGTTGTTGCAGTTGCATTTGCTAGTTTTGGGCTTGTTGGTAGGTCATTCACCTCTTTGGATCTCATCTTCTTAATCTGTAATATGGGAGAACACTACTTGAGCTGTTTCTATCACAATAAAGAAACACTCTCTTTAAACTAAAAGACGTGTGCAAAAAAGAAGTAGATACTTGTTGACAATGCTAACTTTTTTTTTTTTTTTTGCAAGTAGGTGTGTAGAGAATGCTATTGTTTTCCAAAGTTCCTGGGATTTTTGAGATGCATATGGCATCCTATATTCCTGTTCTATTAATAGATGTGCCCTCTTAGTGACTGTTTGACCTAATCATATTTGTAACTTTTAAAATATTTCCCTTTCCCCTTCTAGTTTTGAAAATAGGCTCAACATCTATTGAAATTCATTAGCTATGCAAAAGAGACTTCATGTTATTATGACAAAATAATTTATTAGGAGTCACAAGATTTTGGTTAGTGTCTTAATTTTGCTGGGTTCTTGTAGGAGGACTGTGGTCAAATCATCAGCTTCTCTGGTGCTTATTTCTTCAATTTTCAAAGCAATGTGTCTGCATTAAGCAAACGAACACACTTCTTTAATTTCTGTGATTCTATGGCATATTGGTTTACAATTTTATTTGTATAATATAACCACAAATGTTATAAATTTCTTTTGTTCATAAACATTGAATCAAATCATTGAATATATACTTGTTTTCTATATAACAATATATGGTCATTTTCAATATATCACACGTTATGAGTTATATTCAGAAAACTGTATTAGATTTTATTCTTTCTCAAATTGTATGATATAATTGACCAAAGGATAGTATTTTTCATATTTGAAGCACACTGATATAAAATCCATATTCTGTTCTGAGATGCCTGCAAGGTTATGGGATTCTCATAAAATTTTACTTTTCTATATTTAAATAGTGAAGAATAAAATTTCAACAAATAAGTATTTATCTTAATGTAATGAAATGCTGACTAAGCATAATAAAATGTTATTTAATATCATTATAATATTTTGATACATATTGAAAAAGAATGTATATTTTGATTGCCAATCAAGTTTTAAAAGTTGTCTTTTATTAGAGACATCTTTTATTTGAGATGCACTTTTTCACTTTAACTGATTTTAACGTATTGTTTCCAAACAGTGTCTTTTAGGACATAGCTCTGATAGATAATTAAGACATCATTTTTGCTTTTAAGAAGTTAAGGTGATGCATCCTTTAAGGACAGTGCAAAAAAATAAAGAAAAAGTCTAATTGGTTTCTAGAAGAGTTACGTATCCTTTCCACATTTCATCAGGACTCGATAAAGACACTTGTTTGCTGGCACATTTAAACCTCAAGATGATGGGAGGACTAACGAGAATGATGTCAATAAACCTTTTTGGGGCATGTGGCCTTATTCTCCCCCGTCATTTCTTGGGTTGTTTATATTTGAGCCTGATGTTTTGTCCTATTAAAGTGAAAAAGTAAAACAGGCTCAGCCTGGAGCAGAAGGCCCAATAGGCTGCTAACTTTGCACTGGTTCTAAGTCAGGCTCTCTTTTTCTAGTAGAGAGGGTCCTGGTGGATACTTGGGTCCATATTCTTTCAATAGAAAAATATATTAGTGCTTAGGCCAAAACACTGCTGGGCGACAATTTTCTGTGAGACTTCCTGTTACTGTTTGTCTCTATTACAGAGGCGTGTGTGTCTTTGTTCCAGTATCTTCTTAGAGTCTCTTCAAAGATATTTGCATGATGAACAGCCTGGGAGATAGAGCTAGTGTCTCCCTCAGGAGCAATAAGCAGGTTTGTTTCCTGTCCGGTAATACATGCGTGTGTGCATGCGCATGCATGTCTTGGTTTTTCAAAATACCAGTTATTTTTGGAAGCTCATCTTTTGCCATGAGTTACAAAACAACCTTTACTACCTTCCACTCAGGATTCAAACTCAACAAACATAATGTTGAGCTTCTCTGTTTTCCCAGTAAGTGGTTTTTAACTGGCATTTTGGACAGTAAAAACTTGAAAAGAATGATCGAAACGTGAACAGAAAGAGGACCATCAAACAATGAAATATGTGGATAGAAATAGATAAAAATAGAAAATTAAAAAAAAATGGAATAATGGTGATATATCTGACAGAAAAGAAGGCAGCCACAGCCAGAATATTCAGAGAAGGCTACCATAGATGTAGGAGATGGTTTTGTTGGCAGAACCATAGAATGACTCCAGCATCAGAGTGAGAGAAATTGGGAGCAGATTTGGGATGTGGCAAGTAATCAGGATGCATAATTAAATATTCTAGGGAATGTGAGTGACAACTGGTCCCTTACCACATCCCCCAGGTGCAAGGAGTGATTATCTACCATAAGTGTTCATCTCTGCCATTATAGCCTGAGAACTTTTATAGAAAGAAATTGAACCAATTTTTAGAAGAACAGGGTCATTAATAGTCTGGCTGGCACTCCAATGTAAGACACTCATTGACTTGCTGCTTCTCCACAGCACACTCTACTGGTTTGACCCTTGTGACACTTCAACATAAATCCTGTCCTCAGCCACTCCTGTACACAAATATTTAATTCCATTCTCTCTTTCAGAAGAGAAGCAGTGTAGGAAAACACACCAACACAATAGCAACATGAATCAGCCTAAATCTCCATTTGTATAAGTGAGAAATCAGCCAGGATAGCCAGAGTTTTGAGAAAGACTAGCATTTTAGAAGTTTAGGCTCAAGATGAACCTAAAAACGATATTATTCAAATCAAATAGACATTTCATAGAACGTAACATTTATCTTCTCCTATTTAGTATACTACAAAGAACTCAGGATGATGAAGTAAAATGGTAGCTTTGAAAAAATACAAAGTGAGATCAAGATAGAGTTCTGATGTCAGAAATTTGATTGCAGAGGTAAAAATAACCAAGAATGCCTGGAAGGAAGATTTAAAAAATATTATTTCTTAGAACATTTACCAACAAGTCAAAGATGGAAAATGTGAGACTAGAGTATTAACATAGGTGATTTCAAATATCAAAAAATGTTAAGAATAAGGGAGGAGAATGTTTAAATGGAGTAAAGTTTGAGAGTTAAAATAAGACATGAGTTTTGATATTGATAGGGCACCAAAAACCGTAGCAAAATGGAATAAAAATACTGTCACCTAGGCATTTCTTTGTAAAATATCAGAACACAAAATTGTAAAATTTGAAAATGGTAAAATTTCACCGCACAAAAGAGGGTTCCATTAAGAAACAATCAAAAAGATCATCCAGGAAGGATCAATAATCAGTTTTTTTCCACACTTGCTATTACCAATGCTGGATACTAGAAAGTTCAAGTTTTGGGAGTCAGGGGACGAACATACACAGGTTTCTATTTCTCCAGCCAACCATTTCGTTTAACAATAGGGTAAAATACTGTATTCTCAGAAATGCAAAATCTCTACAGGTCAACATTTTACAAACTCAGGAAACAAAGGGAATAATCACAGCTATTAGGAACAAGGGACTACAAATTCTTGAGGGAGCAAAATGTGAAATCTAAGAAAAGATGAACTAAAATATGCAATGAAAACAAATGGCTAGGATGACAGCTGTGCTGCAGTCCTAGAAAGCAATCTGTCCAAACTAGAGATAAAGTGTGAGAGCTCTGTAAAAGAAGCCATTAGAAGTCAAGGGCAACAGTATCATTAGGAAACTGAAAGATCTTAGGAATTTCATGAAAAAGGCATATAGCCTATTTTTTAACATACTAATATAATCAATTATAAAATTTAGGAAAAAATGATCAAATAAAGTGGGGTGTGATTTTAGCAATCAATGGAGTACAGCAACAGAATTTGACTTTTATGTGGATAAAAGTTGGAATTATAAATCTGTAATATGGCTTTTGTCATTTACTGAAAATCTGCATGCAAGAAGTAAGAGAAACTCTAGGCCTGAGGCCAGAGACCACAATTCAGTCCTTGACAGATCCATTTTACAGTTTGTTACACACAAGAGAACAAGTCAAGCTTCTCATTCTCCTCTCCCAAATGTATTCACCACACCTTCCAGAGGTACACACGTAGATAAACTTCAAAAGATTATTACATTTGAAAGGATGTTCAAATATGAATCTGAAAACAAGAAGAGTCACAGTAAATGAGGCAAAATGTATAGCTCAAACAAAACTCAATTATATATTTGCAAAGAAAGTCAGGTAATGGGAATGAAGAAGAGTTTAAGAGTTTCAAGATCTCTAAAGAGGTCATGATGGTTGTTCAAGAGAGCAGAATATTAAGGATACTCTGTTGGTTAGAACGTGTGACAAAATTATTTTGATTATATGGAGCTGCTTTATACTCCATCTTGAAGCTTGGAATATTCTTGAGCAATGCAATTTTACTGACATGTGTTGCCGGACCTTCTCCATGATCCAACTATAATATACTGTTCTGCTTTGACTAGTGTTTTCATAATTCAGTATGTTAAATGTTCATTACTAGTTTAAATTTATGGAAACTTTAAAGAGTTAAAATCTAATCACTGAATGTGTCATTCAAAAATATTCCCGGCTGGGCATGGTGGCTCACGCCTGTAATACTAGTACTTTGGGAAGCTGAGGCAGGAGGATCACAAGGTCAGGAGTTCGAGACCAGCCTGGCCAACATGCTGAAACACTGTCTCTACTAAAAATACAAAAATTAGTTGGGTGCAGTGGCAGGAGCCTGTAATCCCAGCTACATGGGAGGCTGAGGCAGGAGAATTGCTTGAACCCAGGAGGCAGAGGTTGCAGTGAGCCAAGATCTTGCCACTGCACTCCAGCCTGGGTGATGGAGCAAGACTCTGTCTTGGAAAAAAACCAAAAAATCTCAAATGTATTTCTTTAGCTTTGTCTTCTTAGCTTCATGTTTTTATGTGACTGGTGGGCATTTTGTTATATGTCATCCAGGACTTCATAGATACATTATCTAATTCTTTTTTCCCCTAATATCAACTCCTATTATTTATTGATCCATTTTGCTTAATGGTATAAATATTTTAGTGGTGCTCACCTTCAAGACATAGTGGCAACCTTAGTGCCTTTTCTCTAT